ACTTCTATAAGTCGAGAGGAGACTGCGACCATACCCGAGGCCACAACATCTTGGTCTTCACATCTTCAATCTTACTTTGAATAGGTTTACTGATAACTTTATGATTACTTGAGGAACAAGTCATCCGGAAAAGGACTATATATGTCGGGCACACACACATACATGTGTGTATGTAATGTATGCCCAAACGCATAAAACACTTAATGGGCCGTCTTCCGTTGTCTATTTCCACAAATACATGTTACCCAAGTAATCACAAGAGAAGACGTAGTCAGTAGCCTGTAGCAGGTCATCTCTTGGACCTACCATCCTAGCTCGGTTCTGAGGTTTAATGGCTGAGCTGGCAGGAGAACGAATTTGGTTACAATCTTTTTTCACAAGCATAGACAGTTCACACTTTCATTAGCCAGGAAGGAGTGTTTCAAATGCGTGAAGTGACGTCAGAACCAATCAGATCCAACTTTGAGCATGTATGGATGGTAGCGGTGACAGCCAGGTATGAGGTTAGGTAGATTGTCAGATTGCTGTAGCCGAGAAATACTTACGCGGCCAAGATAAGTGCTCTGAAGACGGCGTCCGATCTTCCCACTTTTCAGTTACCCCCGAACAGTGCTCATGAAGATGCTTGTGGCACTGGTGTAGCCCGGAGCCAAACTTCCGGCTTCTGGTAACCGAGGCGGTCGATCTTTTATCCTCCTTAGCATCCGTAGACTGGGGTCCCGCCTGGCCACGACAGAAGGACGCCGAAGGCCACTGCCACTTGTCGGCCTGCTCTTGAGGTGGCGAGGATGTTTCTGGAGAAGCAGAAGTAAACTGAAACAGACGGAGCAAAAGTGCCAGATGACAATGCAGTACAGTTTGGACGGAGGCTGTAAAATGTTGAATCATAAAGAGTAACAAGATAATATGATGAAATGACTCGAATGGTACAGCCAACTTTTGCCTTTGTGCTATTTCTTTTTAGAGGAGTTAGCAAATTTGTTATTGTGACGATGCTGACGACATGAATCCATCCATCGAGTTATAGTTTCGACCGAAGGAACAAGAAAATGAAAGTAAAAGCCGGAGGAAAATTCATTTTATGCTCTGGAGGACTTCTATGTTGACAGAAAAGAGCTGACACGAAGGCAAAAAAAGCCAAAACAGTTGCTGTGCATCTGTTAACAGGATTTTGCCTAATTTTTAGCCAATTCTACACTGTTCATTGCACTGATTGGATAAAATAGAAGAAAACCTTAGTGTGCCTCAAGACTTACAATTAAATTATGACAAAAGAGAGGAAATTTCGCTAATTAATTAAATTGTGTTCAGTTTATTAATAACTACAGCATATGAAAGGAGGCTAGAACAAAACCCACTGCCTTTAGTTTCAGCTCGTTAATTTTAGACTATCAAGTCCCCAAAAAAGAACAGAAATTTTCAGTGGGGACATTTTTATGCTCCCAAACATACTACTTAGAAACTTAAGTATGAAAAATCATTCATCCATCGGTCATTCCCAAATCACAAATTTGTTTAATTCCC